CATACTTGTCTTAGAGCAAGTATAGTAAAGGGTTTTAGGTGGGCTGCATGCTAAGACAGAGGAGAGAGGGAAGGAAAGAGAGAAGAATTGTGAGCGGAGTAAGTAGGCCATGTATTAACAGTTAAGATATAACTACTATATGGGTGGACTGAAAGGTAGGGAGTAAAAATTTGTACAGCCAACGGCCAGCAGTGTATTATTATTAGCCTTCCTCTTATGAGCTATACTATTCATACATGGCAGTTGGGATACTAAGCCTAGGCCACGACCAATAAAACATGCGCACAGGGTGTGGGACCAAGAAAGGGCAACAGCCAATGGAGTGCTGCAACCGATGGACAATCAAACATCCGTCCCGAATGTAAAAATTTTAGATTTGAACCAAATCCATTTTTCTGGAGTCTGACTAAGTTTATAAAAAATAATGTTAATATTTATATCACTAAATATGTTTACTATAAAATATATTCTACAAATAATCCAATGATACTCAATTGGTATCATAAATGTTCGTATTTTCATAGATTTGGTTTAGACTTAAAATTGTTCGATTCTTGAAAAGTGAAAATTGCATTCTTTCTTCTTTTGGAGACTAAGGGAATACAGAAGAATAAATAATACTAACATCTATGTACTACCAAATAAGTACCATAAGATAATCTTGAAATATATTTTTATAGAATACTTATTTCTTTTTTCTATAAGTTTGATCAAATTTATTTTTTTTCTCAAATAAAGTTTGATCAAATTTAAGATGATTTGACTCAAGAAAGCTAGAATTATAATTTTTAAAAGATGGAGGAGGTGTCAAATCAAATAAATAGATTTGCATTTGCGTGCAGGAATGTAGATGCAGTCCTAGTTACTACGTAGCTTCCTTGTCAAAAGGAAAAAAAGAAAACTGCTGTCCATGCATTGGTGGTTCGGAAATTCCATGCATGCATACGCGCAGATGGAGTACGTGTTGGTCCAGTACACGGAATCCACCAGAAACCATAGAGAGAGGCAATGTAGGAGTGGAATGTAAAGTATTTTTTAGAAAAGAAATGCAGAAACCGCCCCATGTGTGACTTGGGTTTTGAGATTCCAGGACATAATATGACGTGTGTCCACCACTACTTGATTTTGATGGAAAATTCACCCCACCACACAGGTGCTTAAGTTGATTCTACCAATCATTTTTCCAACATGGAGCCACTGATGTAGGCTTTTATAAAAATCAGATGCTCCGATCCTAATTAATATTACAAACCAAATTTTTTTGGGAGCTTCGATCCAAAGAATCGGCGATAAAAGGCTTAAACTTGATGACACGGTTTAACTATCTATGAAATTTCTTCAAGACAATATGCATGATTAGTAAGCAAACTCTGGCACTGGGGATAAAAACTTACTATTCGGGTAGCACTGCTTTTTAGCGGCTACGTGGTGGCTGAAATGTGCAGAATAGTAGTCAGTTTAAGCACACGCGCAATGTAGGGTGGTTTTAATTGTTGTAACATGGATCAATGACTAGCAGAGGTGTGTGTTTCCATTTTGCAACAAATTAAAACGTCCAATTAAAGAGGTGGAATCTCCAACTGAAAAGTGACATGGATATATAGATGGATGGTTTTTTGGGATTTTTCCCAAAATTTAGGTTTTGGAATGAAGTAATTAACTTCTCTTGGCTTGTCTCGGTATCTGCGCACATGTAGTTACAGTAACTCAGTGCTACAATATCTGAATTCGGTCTGGGCCCACTGGGCTGGGTCTCACGTCCACGCACCCACAAAGGATTCGACGTTCTCTTGGCCACGTTCATATTCCTAGCTCCTCGACTCAAGTGTCATGCTCTTGTACGGCCTGTTCGCTGGTTGCTTTATGGGCTGATAAGCCCGACTGGTGCTGGTTTGTTGTGAGAGGAAAACACTGTTGGATGGCTGATAAGTCCTGGCTGAAACCAACAAGCGAACAAGCTGGTAGAGCCATGCGCAGCCTATCCGAGCTCCCGAGCCATACGTCCGTGAAACCGCGAGAGTTGGCTCTAAATACCATTTGTAACACCCCAGGCCCACTCTATCAAGGGGGGGCTCCACCTACGTAGCAAACTGCTTGCACTTTTGTTCTCGCTTTGCGCAAAACGATTAACCGAAGGTTACTACGCGTTCTAGGACTGGCTATCTAAGCTCGTTCGGCGAACTTAGAATTCACGCAACGTTACTAAACCCCGCCGCTACAGTTTTGCCGCAGCTACAGTACGTGATTTCGGTCCGTCCTAACCTAGCCCAATGGACTGGGTCTCACGATATACTAGCAGTATATAATACACATATAATGGCACTTTCGATGATGCATGATGAGAGCGATCGAGAAGATAAGACCAACAAATCATGAGACCGGCGGCCGGTCGTCGTAGTTACGTTACTGCGTGTGGAAACATTAATTATCAAACAAATGTGCACTCTGTTAGTACGTACTTATTGTTCTGTGCTCATGCATGCATCGCATCTGAGTGGTTTATTTTATGTATTTACATATACCACCATATTTCGGAGGACGTCATTGGCGGCTGAAGCAATTTTGGCACGTTTACGAAATTCGCACGACGGAGACAGAAAGTAGAAAGTCTAGATGTTTTCCACGAGACCAGACTTTGGCACTAAATGTCAGGTTTTATTTATAAAACCAGCATATATAATAGTTACTGCCAAACTGAAGTTTGGAAAGATGCATATGACCAATAGCTGCAATATATATATTCCGCGCGCGTACGTAGACTCCTTTTTTTATAAAATACAAAAGAAAAGGAAGGTGACAAGAATCTCTCTGGCTCTCACTCTCACTCTCTGTAGCTCCAGCTTGATGGTCAAGGTCAAGGTGCATTGCATGGATGTACTGTGCTGAACTGCTGATGCATCCTCTCTCCTTTTTTTTTTAGGTGATGAGATAGCTAAAAATAGTTATTATTTGTATATACTATGCGGCACAATTACAAGTGTATAAGGCAGGATTAAAGTGACAGACCAGACGCCGGCAGACGGCATGAACCTGTTGTCAGAGAAACGCTATTTTGCTGGACCTATCTACGCACAGTTGGTCTGACAAAATGCATGCATGTACAGTACGCTTGCAATAGTATTCAGACTGAAACATCGGTCCAAAGAAAGAAAGCGCGACAGATTAAAAAAGAAAGAAAGAACGAAAGAAAGAAAGCAAGCGCGACGGCATCGGACGCTTCTGTGCAGTGTAGGTGTACGAGTAGTAGTAGTTTATTTGTGCAGTACGCGGCCAGCTGGTACCACGAGGACGTCAGAGGCCGTAACTGGCGTACGTGTACCATTTCACACTTTTGGCTGATCGGCGATCGCGCCCGTATATTGTACACGTACGTTTCGTGCATTACTTTACTTGGCAGCAGCGAGCAGTTGTTTTCAGTTTGAGATGCCATGGTCCATGGATGGATCCAGAGAGAGCGTGCAAAGCAGAAAGTTTCGTTCGTTCATTCACTCCCCTTTTCTTTTCGATTCCCTTTGTCAGTTTGTTGTGCAACGGACTGTACATGGTAACTTAAACACCCATGATGACTGATCGATCGATCCGTCGTTTTCTTCGTAGTAGCTGCTCGCTGACACGACGCGTGCAAGCTATAGGCTGTTGTCCTCTCCCATGATCTGGGCTCTCTGATGAATCTGGCAGCCAGAGACCAAGCTCATCTTGTTGCATCTGTGTCCTGCAACTGCACCATCACGGGCACCCATGAATCCAGCCAAAGTCGGCATGCATGCATGCAGTCAGGAACCAAACCATCTTTTATGTAACCAGCTGATTTCATTATTACAACCACAGCCACCTGCATTGTCCGCATTTTTCTACCTGGTAACCATGAGTATAATTACCAAGTACTAAATGCATATTCAACACCGGTTAAAAAAATCCAGTCGTTACAAGCACACAACCGTGCCGTACTACCGTGGTAGCAAAGATCACATAAAGAGAACTGTGCCGTACTACCAGTCGTTAAAAGCACACAACCGTCCCTTCTTTCAACTCTCCTTTTTCTGTCTAAAAGAAAAATGTGGTGTGTGGCATAAGGAATTTTTCTCGATGGGTCTAATAAGAAGGACGACCCCATAAGCACTACATGGCCTTTTAAATTCTTTTATTAATATACTGTGCTGTAACAATAAGTGACTTTCGGAAACGACAACAACGTTATATGAGACAGGGACAATTCATCATTTCCTATCTGTTCGCTGTCATGATGTTTGCAAATTTTGCAGGGCACGTCAGGAGAGCATGTGCATGCTACACATCTGCTCGCTCACGAGCAACCCGATGAATCCAACGATTTTTCACCAGATTTAGTACAAACCATGGAAACCGGCATGATGTTCAGGATCATTAGCTATACAATGTTTCAGAATTCAAATCCAACATTTTTGGTACGCTCAAAATAAGAAAGCCCGGTTACTCCAAATACAGGACGTACCAACCAGAACAGATGTAGATTCAGATCATTCAAAACTGATAAAGTTTTTGGTACAAACTATAAAAATGCGAACCATGACTGAGATGTGCAGATTCTAGCGGAGCTAGATACCTCAAACAAAACGCCTGTGAGAATTAGAAGTTCACCTTCAGCATATAGCCTCTAATAAAATGACCCTGCAAGTAAAATCAAACTGGAGGGAGAAGAAACTCAGCGTAAAACTTCGACCGTCGGGAAAATAACTATACATACAGGGATGCACCACAAGGACTCCACGTTAAGAATTATTATTCCATAATAATACACCTGTGAAAAATTTCCATGTGTAATAACAATGAAATAAGTTGACAACAGAGGCCCATCGATAGCCCAACACGAGAAAGCAGCGGACATGATTAGTCGTAGTTGGGCTAACAAATGTACAATCCTGTGAATGCAACTTCCAAGCAGAACAATCAAAGTCATCATCATAAACAATATACATTTGTGTGGTGCAGCTGTGCATGGGTGTGCGTCCGCGCACAGTGTATCAGCCCTCCTCGCCGAACTCCTTCGTGAACCTCTCATGCACCTCCAGGTCCTTCTTGCTAACTGTCGGCCTCTGCCTCGACAGGACCTTGTCAAAATCCGTCCTTGAGATAGGTGGTGGAAGAATCTACATTCAAAAAAAGAGACCTTTACCTTTGCAATTCAACTGGGAGGGCCTCTCTTAACACTGCAATGGAAGAATCGGCATCTTTTGTTACCTTTGCAGCGAGGCCTTTGGATGCAAGCTCCTGCATGGTGGTCTGTACAGCGCCCGGTTGCTTTGGTCCACATGGCATCCACATGTCACCGTCCGCCTTGAAGAAGAACATGGCATCCTGTGTTTTGCGCACAGGTTCAAATAACACATCCTTAACCTGTTAAAGAAACAAGTATCAGATTCCATTGCATAGTACGGATACATGAGACTAGTAATGACAGATGCAGAAGTTCAAAATTACTTACACAAACAGCAATATCAGAACCAGAAAACCCATCTGTTCGACGGGCCAAGCTCTCGAAATCACTTTCAGTTAAGCTGTGTGGTGTATCCCCGAGATGGACCTGTACGAATTGAAGGTTCCAAAATGTTATCCAACGACTGTCACCATGGAACAGGACAAATTTAGTTATGTTGCAATGGACAACTGTCTGCTAACCTTAAACATATGCTGCCTTGCTTTCAAGTCAGGTAGCGGAATGTAGATACGCTTGTCAAATCTTCGCCGCACAGCCTGCAACAATGAACGTGTCAACGGACAAAACAGTGCTTCACAAGATAATAGGGACTTTCCTCTTCTTTTTTGCAAAGTTGTATACAGTGCAGAATTGTATTAAGTTTTTTTAACCTGGTCCAGAGCATATGGCGTATTCGTGGCAGCAAGAACGAGAACTTTATCATCATTATGACCAACACCCTGAGAATCAGGTACGGAAAAAATGACCATGTCAGTTTAACTCAAAAAAGGCCTAGAACGCAGTTCTGAGATTACGAAAACAAATCATCTAAACAAACAGAAGCAGAATCTTCAGACGATTTCAGTTCTACTTTTCTGTTACATGTAAAAACCTTGCTACGTCAGAAGGCTATCAAATTCACTCGTAATTATGGTGGCCAGATAATGTACTAATAACAGCAAAACGTTGGGAGTTCCATCAGGTAGATTGTATACAATCACTGGATACACGATTAGAATTTTCTGAGTTGAAAATTTGACATAGTATAGTGATGACTTCTACAAATACTAGGATCAATTTTAAAACATAGTGTAACATTCAAGCTAATTATGTGAGTTCAAATAACATAAACTAGCTTAGATACATTTCAAGGGTGATTTTGGATCCAGATGACAGTATCAGAATCATTTGCACTGACTAGCCAATTCTCCACGACCCAATAAGCCTGGTAACATATCTCTGGAGCTAACAACTTGGCCAAAAGAAAAACAAGAGAGAATTTCAAATTTCTTCTTTCTTTTTTATTTTATTATTCCTCCACTTAACAGTAAAGGTAAATAACATCACTGATCACTCATAACTCTGGACACTAGCAGTCGATTGCACATTATCACAATTCTAGGAATAACAGCTCCAATTCTTTGCCAAACAAGAAAGTTTAAATACAGGCCCCCCAGGACTGGCCAGTTGCTTGCAAAAACAATTTTTATCCCTCTTTTGTCTAAATTCACAGCATTTCACATTCTCCATGTCCACAATTTTAGCACCATAACCATCATAAGCATGGTTTCAAAGGTGACTAGGCATCCAGGTGAGAGCTGGGATCGCCTGGACACCTAGGTGACAAGGAGCCACTGTTCGCCAAGGTGAGCCGGGTACACCTAGAGGCCTAGGCGACACTTTGAAACAGGGATCCTAAGCAGAACATATCCAGCTAAGCAAATGCCGCACGGAAACAGTTTGCAACATTGAGACCTCACCTGCATTTGTACAAGTAGTTCAGTCTTGATTCTCCTAGATGCTTCACTTTCATTGCCTTCTCCACGTTGACCACATAAAGAATCAATTTCATCAATGAAGATAATGGAAGGGGCATTTTCACGAGCCATTTGGAAAAGATTCGCAACTAATTTCTCACTTTCACCCATCCACTTTGAAACCAGATCTGAAGAAGATATACTGCAGTAAAGCAATGGCGTAAAATTAGGATACAGCATGAAAAACAAATTGTAGTAGATATCAGTATTGCTTTACTGCAGTAAAAATATGCAAGTCTGGTCAAACTTATATATACATGCAATGTGGCCTTAGCAGTTCAAGCAGACATATATATACATTCAAGGTCCAAGGTAGCCTGTAGCATGTAAAGTTACTAATTGTATGTTATTATCTTTTGAACCCACACTCATTTGCACAGTAGAGACGCCTGGAAGGCAAAATTAAATCCTGGGAGAATACAGGTTGTTGAAATTCAAGTTGTTTGCATGACCTGGCTAAGCTACATATCTGCAGTGTGATTAAGTCAGAATTTGGTACTTGGTTTACTATCGTGGAATAGATGAGACAAACATTGATTTGCACACATAGTCGCGTACATAACTGACCAATTAGCTGTTATAGGACTATAGCTCATGAATATTCCACTTCCTTTTCAGTAAATTCGAATGTCTGTAAGATACTGCCTTTATTTCAAATATGACATAATTTTCCCCCGAACTTCTACCAAATATAAGGTGACATTCTTTTCTCATGTGTTCCCCCTTTCTTCTCCAGGTACATTAGTGATCATTCATAATAACTACAACCACTATTACCTCTATCCTTCTATCGAACCAGCTTTATACCTGTGTTGCATCAAAAATCGTCTTATGCAAAAAAATGCGGGGAACAAAATCAGTTTTCAGTCTGTTAACAAACTAAGGACCTGCTTGGATACACATGGCTAGTTACTAGTTGGGACTAAAAATTAGCCCAGATTAGCTATGATTGGATAGCTAGTTGGCTAACATTTAGTTGAAGACTTGGCTAAAAAATTAGCCCACCTATTAGCTCTCCTGTTTGGATGCACTAGAGCTAATTTTGGCTAATTTTTAGCTAGCTAGTAATTAGCCCTTGTATCCAAACAGGCCCTAATGAATGTCTATGGTGACGGTAAATACTAGGAATATTTGTTCCTTATAAAATATGAGCAACAAATGGAAACTCCACATTAACCATATGCTCGAAAAGTGTAAGCTCTCTTCAATTTTGGGATCCTGATGGATTGCACGGAAGGTGTAGGCTATATATAATAATTAAAATAAATATATAAGCTACTATTGTAGGGCACACCTTTCAAGCGACAACTTTCCTAGTTTTGCAAAAGTTATTCGATTTGAACTAAAAGCTCTCTCGCCTGCATCAAGCATCAGCATGCAAAATTTTTTTTTTTTTGAAAACGCAAGAGACCTGCGTTTCATTGTATTATAGAGAATGAAAAAGGGGGGGTCCCCAACAGGATCCTCACTCATACGGGGACCAAATATGAATGAGGCGATTACACATACACAAGAATAAGACCCATAAAAACAAACCCGACACGACCTTAACTAGAAGGACCTAGTCTGAACAAACCTAGCCCTTCTAGCTTTTTCGCACCATCCAAACACCAAAGGATGTGCTCATTCTTCAGCTCACTCCAAATCAAGTTAATCGAAGGTGAGGCCCCCTCAAAAACACATGCATTTCTATGTTTCCAAATAATCCAGGCCCCAAGAATAATTAGAGAATTCACTCCTTTCCTGTGCTCCTTGTTAACTCTGTTAATAGTCTTGCGCCACCAATCAGCAAAGCTTAGTTCGTTATGGTGGGGGACACAATCTGCTAGGTTCAAAATAGAAAATAATCTAAACCAAACTTGTCTTGCCACCACACAAGATGTTAACAGATGTTGTATTGTCTCATCTTCTTGATCGCATAGGGGGCATTTATCCGGATGAGAGAGGCCCCTCTTAGCGAGCCTGTCTGCCGTCCAACATCTATTACGGATTGCCAACCACATAAACATTTTGCATTTGCTTGGGGCCCAGGACTTCCATAACCGATGCCAAGGTTCAAAGGTCACAAACACCACGTAAAAAACGCTTTATAGGCAGATTTGGAAAAGTAGCAACCACTTGAATCTAGCCTCCATGTGTGACGATCCTCTTGGTCGATTAAGGTAAATCCCAAGAGACAATCCCATAGCTGCAAGAATTCTCTAATACCAGTCCAGGAAAAGGCCTCCTTGAATATCTCTTGGCCATTGCACATTGGTGAGAGCTGCAGCCACAGTCCGGCTATTGCGAATTCTAGGAGAAACACAAGCATAGACAGATGGCGCAAGATTTTCAATCGAACACCCGTGAAGCCACCGATCAGTCTAGAAAAGAGTATTCTGACCATTCCTAACCTCACTCATGACTGCAATGGCAAAAAGGGCTAGCGAGTTAGAGTGCGAAGGCAGTTCCAGATCAGACCATGGACGATCAGCTTTAGTCTTTTTTAAACCATTGCCACCTGATTTGTAAAGCCCAGGCCATCACCTCCAAGTTGGGTATGCCCAAGCCACCAAGATCCAATGGTCTCATGACCTTCTCCCAAGCCACCAGACAACAACCTCCATTAGCCTTATCCTTTCCTTGCCATAAGAAGCCCCTTCTGATTTTGTCTACTGCCTTGATGAACCATTTCGGGACGCTGATGGCAATTAACAAATGAATAGGCATGGCAGAAAGAACACATCGGACTAATGTGGCACGACCAGCCCTGTTCATGAGAGCTGCTTTCCAGCACGGGAGTTTATCAGCTATTTTCTCAATCCATGGCATAAGGTCCCTCTTAAGAAGCTTTTTGTTTGACAGTGGTAAGCCCAAATACTTGCATGGGAACACCGAGATAGTATATGGCAGAATATCATGAATGGCTGTCAAGGACTCTCTTGCATAACCGATGGGGATGATGTTACTTTTCTGAATATTGGTATGCAACCCTGAAGCGTCACCAAATACCTTGAGAATATCTCTAGTGACCAGCAACTCCTCTTCAATTGGCTTAATAAATATGGCAACATCATCAGCATACAGAGAAAGTCTTTGTCCAGCCACCCTTGGGGATAGCAGCTGCAACAGCCCCTCACTTGCTGCCTTTACAAATAAACTGTTCAGCACATCCATCACTAAAATAAAGAGCATGGGGGATAAAGGGTCCCCTTGTCGAAGACCTCGCTGATGATGTATTAGATCTCCCGGTTCTCCATTCAACAAGATTTGAGTTGATGAAGAGGATAACAGATTGGCCACCAAATTGCGCCAAGAATTTCCAAAACCCAAATGTTGCAGCACTTCTAAGAGAAACGGCCACGACACCGAATCAAAAGCTTTGGAGATATCCAATTTAAGAAAGAGGCTAGGCACCTTTTGTCGATGTAGCACCTTAACTGTTTGCTGCACTAGAATGAAGTTATCATGAATGCATCTTCCCCGTACAAATGCACTTTGATTAGAAGAGACTAACGAGTCCAATAAGGGGGCCAGCCGATTAGCAAGAATCTTAGTTAAAAGTTTACCGAAGCTGTGCACTAGGCTAATGGGGCGAAAATCTTTCGCAGCCACCGCATCATTCTTCTTCGGAATCAGAGTGATATAAGCTGCATTTAACAGTCCAAGCCTCCTTGCTTGACCTTGCTGAACCGTGATAATTGCCGCCATGAGATCTGCTCTAATTACCTGCCAACATGCCTTGTAAAATCTGCCAGTATACCCATCTGGACCTGGGGCTCTATCTGATGGCATAGACTTGATAGTTTCCCAAACTTCTTCCTCCATGATTGGATTATCAAGAGCTGACAAATCCATAGAGTTCCGATGAAAGAATTGCAGGTCTAAGGACGCAGTTCGGATCGGGGCTGAACCTATCAGATTATCATAAAAATCATACAATATCCTATGTTTATCCTCCTGGGAAGTGACAGTCCGATCACCATCTATGAGTTTGGAGATAAAAAATTTTCTCTTCCGAAAAGCAGCCTGCTTGTGGAAGAAGGATGTATTAGCATCACCCTCCTTCAGATACCTGACCCCGGGAACGAAGTCTAGCAACAGTTCGTTCTAAAGACGCTAACTTCAGGCAAAGTCGCTTCAATTCCTTTCGCAGCCAGTCCTCTCCAATGGATAGAGTCCTCCTATCTTGGGCCACTTCCAGCCTATGCAACACTTCACGAGCTAGAGCAAGTTGAGTTTTTATGTGTCCAACTCTTTTTGCACCCCAGGATTGCAAAGCACGAGTTAATCGCTTCAGCTTGATGGAGAAACATTCCAGAGGGCAAGATGTCTGAACTGGTTCATCCCAAGAACTCTTTACCATGTCAAGGAATCCAGGAAGGCGTGTCCAGAAACTTTCAAAATGAAAACGCCTCCTACCCTTGACACCAACTTTAAGACCAAGGACAAGCGGACAGTGATCAGACATTTCAGTCGCATGGCTTTGTAATATACAGTTAGGGTATAAGTCTTCCCAATCTGTAGTACACAACACTCTATCCAACTTGACAAGAGTGGGGGAGGCTCTTTCATTTGACCAAGTATAACGACGACCCAACAGAGGTATCTCTTTCAGTTCCATCTCATTCACAAAGCGACGAAATCTTCCCATTAGTGCCCTATTGATATTATCGTTGTTTTTATCTTCCGAACTGTAAATCATATTAAAATCCCCAGCAAGCATCCAAGGTCCAACACAAAAACTCCTAACTTCACGCAACTCATCAAGGAAAGCAGGTTTCTCTGCATCTTCGTGAGGACCATAAATTCCAGAGAACCACCATGGCTGCTGTCCATGATCCTGGAATAAGACCAAAACTGAATGCCTATGCACTCGATAATGTTCAACATTGGATGATCCATCCCGCCAAGCTACCAGAATCCCTCCTCTTGTTCCTTGAGCTGGCAGAGCGACAAAGGAACTATAGTTCTGCCCCAAAATAGATAACACATCACGCTGGGAATATGAGATAATTTGGTCTCTTGCAAACATACTATCATCGGCTGACAAGACTGCACTACTTGGTGAACCATATCCCGGTGGCTTTTGTCATTGAGTCCACGAACATTCCAAATTAAAATACTAGAAGAATCCATAGATAACAAGATTGGATCGGCCAACTACAGGAAATCAAACAACAAGAATGTCATCTGCAGCCCGCACTTCATCGCCAGGAGGTGCATCCCACCCGAACAGGGCAGCCAATGCCTTCAGATGTTCCCTGGATAGAGGTTGGTCAAACAAGGTGGCGTAGTGTTCCATGGTGACAACAGAAACCCTTTCTTCACCATCAGCAAAGCCTAATTGACGGCAAACTGATACTGCCGCACTATGATCAGCTGTTGTTGGAGGAAGATTAGCAACACGGTGGCTCTGCGTCTTGGCACAAAGTTGGATGGCGGATCTTCTTCCTTCTCTTAGGAACCGGGGGGCGGCGGGGATAGCGCGTCCACCGGTTTAACCACCTTGAAAACAAAGGCAGCAATTGGGGAGGCCAAGCGGAGATGACATGACAGGTTCGGTGGAGCAGGAACCGCAGCATCGGAGACCAACACGCCCCTGACGCCACCAACAGGAACTCAAGAGCTTCCGACGACGGGCGGAGACACGGGCCTGCATAAACGCCCTGGATCGAACGAGAGGAAGTTCAAGATGGCGAAAGCGGGCCTCACCTTCCACACCCGCAGGACATGGCTGTTGTGAGGCAAAAGAAGAGGACTGCACATTATCGTCCACCAAGGTGACAGGAGGAACCATGCCGACAGAAATCAAACGCGTGCGAAATGCAGACGGAGACATGACCACGCCATCATCAACGCACCCAAGCCCCCGAGGGGTCTGGTGCGGAGACACGGCCACGCCATCAACGTCCGCCTCCTCGGCCACGGCTACCACGTTCCGTCGAAGATCAGGGAGCGGAGCCACAACCACGTCGTCCCCTTCAAAGAACACGCATTAAATCGCTGGAATAAGTCTTGATAACGGAGGGAACGCCGGGTTCCAAAGAAACTCCAAAGGGGGCGACCATCGGCGAGGAGCGCAGAGCCGCCAGACCGGGCATCAATAGGGATGATGTCCGTGATGGAGAAGCCGAGAGATCGGATCGCTCAATTGGCCATCAAGAACGGTGAGGTGATTCTGGGCCTGAATGCACGAGACTGATAGATATCCTTTCAGGTACTTGGGCCGAGACAGAGCCCACAACCCCAGAGCCGAACTCCACGCAGTCATCCCCACCGATTTGTGCCGCACCCGACATCCACAACTGAAATCCCGGCATGCCTGGGATCACTTCCTCTTCCCCAAACCGTGGCATAATGACCAGGGCCGCCATATCATCAATTACAGCCGGCAGAAACGAGGCGGGCGAGAGAATTGAAGGCGCCTGCGTCGCCTCGGGCACAGAGCGAAGCGAGCCATCAACCGGCTCGACGCAGACCGGGCCCAGCCGCCGATGCACAGGGACCCGTGTAGCACCATCAATGGAGGCACCGGAATCAGGAGCTGAGGACTCCGGTGGATCAGGTTCGTACCGCCGGCGACGTCGCCTACCATGGCCAGGATCATCTTGCGGAGGAGGCGCGGGCGGAACGCCGTTCATCCCTGACAGCGGAGCCACAGAAACTGCAACTTTGATTTCATAACTCAATGCGCGCTTCAAATCTTCATCATGCACAGGGGGCTCGACGATGTCTAAGTCCATGACCGCCGGGATGAGCTCTGGCTTGGAACACCAAGCCTTGAGCCGAAAGGACGAATAATCCCGCCGATCGACCGTATCAGGATGGAGCTCACAAACCCAGCACCATTCATCAAGCAGGTGCTCCGCCGTCTCGAGCTCCTAGGCGTGCGCCGGTATGCCTCGCAGCTCGACGTCGACAAGCGAGGGCAAGACCACCGCGGACGCATTCTTGAACCGGGACCAGCGTCGGAAGTAGAGTGTGAACGACGGCAGCAGCAGTGGCCGCCCTTCGTTGTAAACTCGAATAGCTGTAGGTTCGTCGGGGAGAACTAGCAGGCCATCATCACGGCTCAGATGGTGAAACTCCAGCGACTCAACCGGGAGTTCATAGCGACGAGCAAGATCATCCACCAGAACATCAACCAATAGAGACACCAAGTCTCCAACGATCGCGACCAAGAGCGCCTTGCATAGCTCGTCCTCGGCCCTGGCCATCCTAGCCGAGCGGTCGAGGATACGTCGGTGCCGGGCAAGAACGTCAGCAGAGGGGGCCTGAACACCAACGTTGACAGCAGCAGCAGGATCGCCATTATCATCATCAGCCTGGCTAGGAGACCCGCTCTGTCCAGCAGCGCCAGAACGCCGCTGCTTCCTGACACGGCGTCGACGTCGCCTGGACGTACTGTGGTCTGCCGCAGCACCAGACCCATCCAAGCCGGGCGAGGTCTCCGTGACCACCATCTTCTTAGCGCCCAGGTCCTTGGGCGTTGCCTTTGGCCGCCAGACAAGGTGTCCCCGAGGCGCTGCCGAGAGTAGAGCCTGTCCACGACCAACACAGCTGGACGCACGATGCCCTATCTCGTGGCACTTGAAGCAGCGAGGACCCTCACGACAGACGGCGGCGCGGTGAGAGGTTGCAAAGCAGTTGAAACACCTCCCTTTGAGGTCCTCTGGGACTAGCCGACGGGAACCGCGCGACTCCTTCAGGCGCTTCTTGCGGGCATGGCGGCTTTCGTAACGCTGCCACCCGGACGCGTCAGGTCCATCTTGGACGAACGCCTGACGAGGCCGCGCCAAGAGGACGACCTTCGGTGGCCGTAGAACCTGCACCTCCGCCGGCTGCGACAAGGGAGATGATGAGGCGCCACCAGATAGCAGGACCTCGCGATACAACGGGGCGGAGGGGGAGCCACCCGCAGAAGAAGACGGGCTAGCGTCGCGCCACCGCTCGCCTTTGGAACGGCCAACCTGGGACAGCGGAGAAGGGGAGGAGCCCGGCACCTGGGAGGAGAGGGGAGCCTGCGGATGCACGGCTGAGAGGGTGGCCGTCGGGCCAAGGGCAGGCACCGACGTGGGGCAAGTGGAGGAGGAGGTGCCGGGAGGGGGAGGGGTGGGAGCGAGAGTGGCCATCCTATTCCTTCGCTGTTTTTTCAGCATGCAATTTTCAGGAAGCATGCATTTTGAATAGTCTTAATATGTACGGTGTTAATTCAATAACATGGCAACAATTGTCTCATAACAAGATCTGAATCCATAACATAGCTGAGATAGGTCAATTTATTTTTAATAACACAACAATGTCTATAAATGTCACATGTGCAAAGTGCACTCGCAACAGTCTTAACAGATGAGAGTTCGAGCAAAAAAATATTCACATTTCATGAAGTATAGTTCTTCAAATTGGCTGTAGATGATATAAAAAAAAACACTTCAAAAAGGCATGTTGGCATTTTTGGCAACTTTTTTATACCCCCAAAATAAAATTTGATGGTGCTCCATGATCTTGTATTCTTGTTTGCAGATTAAACACTTCATATTTTGACAGTTTTACTCATATGGTGAAAAAAATCTACGGTTGCACCACGAACCGTAAGTAAGATGCATTATCCTCTGTAATGGAGCTAATAGAAAAGCAGGAAACTGTACCATTAACACAAAAGCTGTACAAAAATCAAAGAAAGTTTCGATGCAAACTACATGCCTATGCCAGTCTATATATTGCATTGTAGAACAAGTTTCAATAAAAAAGGATTGGTACCCAATTCCTTTCAGGTGAAATAGTTAAGTCTTTTTTTATGAATAGCCCATACAAATCCATCACACCCTTCCATAGAAATCAAAAGTTTGTGTAGTTCATGTGAGGCATGGTGTGTACTGTTCTCAAACAAAATAATCTATCCCCCTGAAACCAAGAAAAAGTGTGATGCTACAAATGAAGAGTCATGTGATGACTCTAGATACTAAACAAATGTGTCAGGGATGCCTAAAAATTCTTAATTTGGCAGACCGCAGACACTCTACTAGGCATACAACTAGTAGCGCCGAGGCAAAAGTTGAAAAAACAATCAGAGTTCAAGAGTGGTGCAGATTTTGTTGTCACTGATAGGCGAATAGATAAGATAGATATAGTAAGAACTCAGTCGTATGACAGTCAAAGGAAGCATAGCAAGATATGCACCAAAAGCCTATAACAGTTTTAATTTTAAACTCCAAGCATAAAAAAAACTTCTCTCTAAAAGAGCAAGTAAAGGGAACAGGCGCCATGATGAATATACGATTAAAAAAAAAAAGGGCGTACCCAGTGCAGAGAGCTCCCGCTCTGTGCGGGGTCTGGGGAAGGGTGTCAGTGGCAAGCCTTACCCTCGCCTGTGCAATGCGAGGAGACCGCGACTCGAACCCGGGACCTTCCGGTCACAGGCGGTAAGACTCTACCGCTTGCACCAGGCCCGCCCTTCTATGATGAATATACGATTATCTACCTGAAAAACGTTGAATCAGCCTCGGTTGCGACGGCTTTTGCCAAATAAGACTTTCCTGTTCCAGGGGGGCCATACAAAAGAAACGCCCTCCAAGGCTTCCGCTTGCCTAAGGGATAGCATTCTTCATTAGTACATACTAGTTGACAACACGAAGATATCTACACTTCCAATGAGTTCAGACATATGATATTTTTCCATCAATTATGTACTTACATAAACAAGGACACACTAGTTAACATTAACTGAGAGAAACAAAAAAAACGAAGAAATGCTTTGGTGATTAAAGCAAAAAAAAAAAAAAAAAAAATGCACAAAGGCCAAAATGACACACAAGTGACCATTCAAAGTTGAAACTAAATTTTTATCAGGTCAAGCAATTCTAGATTTGAATCAAAGTAGCCAGGCATAATCTTTGGTACACAACTAGCAGAATAACAGGAATGCATATATTCTCAAAATAAAATATTTGATCCCTTTTGAATTTTGAATTGAACAGACTTTCAGTTCACACTTTTAACATGAAAATGGGATTGTGGTTTTACTCCTAATTGATATTAATATTATGTGTAGGTTATTTAACATTTAGCGATACTCTAGAGGAAGATTGAGCAACCAAAAAAATCATGCAAGGAAATGGTCTTGTCCAACAACATAAATTATCATCTAAAAATGAAAACCGGAAAATCATAGCACCAGTTATCAATCAATCAAATATTCAATAATCTCTATCGACAGCAAACAACGTTATTCATTCACTACCTAACAGTAACAATGGATAGTTGGATCAACCCTAGCTCACCCCATCCAGTTTAATAAGTACAAAGATCAGCAAAGCCTTTGCGGCCCCATAACGATTGCAATCACCAAACCTTTATCAGGATCAAAGATAAAAGGAAAAAAAGATAACGCTTTTAGGTACCGTCGCTCACCCGTGAAGAACTGCGGGAACTTGACGGGCAATATGACGGCCTCCTGCAGCGCCTGCTTGGCGCTCTCAAGGCCGGCAACGTCGTTCCACTTGACGTTGGGCTTCTCGGTGATGATGGCGGAGTTGAGCCCCGTCCTCAGCTTGGACTGCTCGGAGTCATCTCCTCCGTTGCCCCCGTCCCCGTCCTTGCCCTTGGTCTTGGGGCGCGTGGCGACGGCCGCGTCGCCGCCGTTGGCCCCCGGCCCCGCGCCGCCCTCATCGAGGACCGCCCGGATCTCCTCGGCGCGGCGGAGGTACTCGATGAACTTGGCGTTGATGGCCTCCTTGATCTTGGGGTTCTTCTCGTACTTGAGGTGGGTCTTGAAGTACTCGAGCGCGTTCATGTAGAGAGGGAACGCCTTGACGTAGTTGCCGGCATTGTCCTCCTGGACCGCCTGCTTCACGTACTCGATCGCCTGCTCCTTGAAGTTGCTATACATCGGGGTAGGCCCAGAGGCGCCGCCTCTGCGGCGGGCACCCGCGGATCGGAGGGGGGATCGGCTGGATTGGGCTCCGCGGCGGCTGATTCGGGAGGGGAGCGGAGGGGCGGCGGGCGATTGCTTGGTGCTGGGGTTTGACGCGGTGAGGAGACGACGGGATGCGCAGGAGGAAAGGGGAACGAAGACGAGACGAGGAGGGAGAGGAAAGGAAAAGGGCTTGTCACGAAGGAAAGAGAAAGCTGTTGACGATTTTGACTAAGGACCCTTCCTTTTTTGGTTTTTCTGATATGAGTACCTTGTGATGGTTTTAAGTTTCCCAAATGCTTCTTTTCGCAAGAACGTGCGGAGACGCTTTAGTATCGTGGATGCACTAGAATAGAAGCAAAATAAATTGCAGATGAACACATGTTGCTGTTGCTGCCACCGGAGATGAAGAAATCCGCGACACTAGAGTTTGGGGTTTCGAGGATTTCCATGCTCTCCGAGCTTAGAACGAAACTTTCAGGGAGGATGCACGAACCGACATTGGTGGTGGTCAAGACAACGGCGGGGCGGTGGGAGAGGTTGATTGGGGCAGTGCCGGCGGCAAGGGCGACGACCAAAGAAGAAGAAGGGGTTATGATTAGTGTGGCGTTGGTGGAGAGTGGCGGGAGAGGCAGCGGTTCAGCACCTGAGCAGGGGAGGGGTTGAGGCAAGGGCGCTCGCATCGTATCTCAAGCAAAGAGCTTGGGTCAGGGGACATGGTCGAGAGTGGCGACGGAGGCGACATCGACGTAGTCAGAGCTAGGTGGGGTGAGGAGGTTGCGGGGGAACGTGGGAGGAAGGAGGAGGCGTCCACACAAGGGGAGGAGGCGTGCAAACGGAGTCCTCAGCGCCTGCACACGTGAACGCAGGCCATAGTAAAGTCCTTTTAAGTTTTAACGTATTGGAGTCAAAACAATAATAAATTGTCATTTTTTTCTTCTTCGTGTGCTAAACGTGCAACCTAGGAGAAAAGAGCACGTAGCATTCATTTGCATATCTTGATTGTCTAATGAGGTTTATAATGTATAATTTGGTTTTGCAATAGTCATGCAATCTCAAAACAACTCACAGCTTTTCATGATTCAGCCCCCATTTAGCGAGGATTTGGTTGCTTGAAGAAATGTTTATGGAGATAAACTAGTTATGATTCCTATGATGGACATGTTTTTTATTTCTACTTCTAACTATACGTGCGCTTGGTAGAGATTTCTCCAAACTACTTCTCTCTAGAAACAATCAAAATCTCTAAATAGACTAAGGCCTTGTTCAGTTTCTCCCCCTAAAGTTTACTCTCTATCCCATCGAATATTTGGACACATATATAGAGTATTAAATATAGACTAAAAAAACTAATTGCACAGTTTGCGACTAATTGACTCTATTCGGCTGATCTATAAGCCGTTTGTGCTGATTTATAAGGCTGATTTATTGGGAGAGAAAAATATTATACAATGGCTGATAAACCGGCTTATAATGGCAGCCGAACAGAGCCATTCACGAGACGAATATTTTAAGCCTAATTAGTCCATGATTTGACAATGTGGTACTACAGTTGAAAGTACAACCAAGCCTTAATTGTGAGTTTTTGTGATAATGACCACGCAATTAGAGAATTAATGAAATTTATCGAGATGACAAATAGGAAATTTATATTCGAGGATGCTACACGAAACAGAGGAGCCCCCAATTACAAATATATATGACTTCAAACTCAAAAGAAGTTTAAAATTCTTTTATATCTTGAATTTCAGTATAGGAAAAGCCGTACTATAAAGGGGGACACAATGCTTAAGCTAATATGTGCTACCAAGTGCTCAAACAACCATAAGCATCCTCAGATTCACAGCCAAGACAGTCTACACTTTACTATTACCCTGCTGTCTTTGCGTGGTGCGGCACTATCGCACTTGAAGAGAGGCACTAACGCACTTGAGTCACGGCATAAGGAAGTTAGCGCCTATGCTGACATCCCCAGATGGCTCAAGACGTATTAAACGGTCTCGCCCGACCCCTTGGGTGCAGGATTCGTCTCGTCTGACCCCAAGGTCGTAGGATCCATCTCGCCGGACCTCTTGGTGCGGGCTTCGTCTCGCTCGACCCCAAGGTCGCGGGATCCGTCTCGCCCGACCCCAAGGTCACGGGCTCTGTCTTGCCCGACCTCTAGGCAACGGGCTTCGTCTCGCCCGACCTCGAGGCCGCGGGCTTCGTCTTGCCTGACCCCTTGGGTGCAGTGACTGTTGAGGGCTGGTGGTATATATACATTTCTCTTTCCTCTCCAACGGCTATCTACGATTTAAGTGACCATTAGAGGCTGGGGATATATATATATATCTTTTCCCTTCCTTTCCAATGGGTGACCTGTCTCTTCTTCTTCACTTGAGCACATCCAAAGCAGAGCAAGAGCTCTCTCTCCCTTCCTCCATTGTTAACCTCAAACCCTCAAGCAAATCCATTGATTTCCCCATCAATCCTTGAGGAAAAAGGGTCCCTAACTCGATTAGATAGCAGCTCCATTAATTTCACAACTCTAAAGAGCACTTGGTTCACGTTTTGGCCGGCGGTTGTATTTGTTACTCTTGGAGCTTGGCTCCTAGCCGGCTAGAGCATCGTTCGTGGAGCTTGCCAACTTATGTGGCAGCTTCGGAAGGTTTGTAACCATCCCTTGAAGCTAGTAAACTCACCCATCATCTCAAAAGTTAAGTATCTTGACTTGAGAATGAGAAAGGGTTGAAAAGCTCTAAGCCTTAGTGGCTAACCTCAATAATGTGGAGGTAGGCAAGCCTTGGTGGCGAGCTGAACCACGGGATAAATCATTGTGTCACTTGTGCTTAATTTACATTACTTGCATGACATATTGTGGTTGAGGTGATTTCTAGTTTTTTTGTCGATCTACTTATGTGTGATGTTTCTACCACTCCTACATCTTGATCTGTGATTGTCATACCTGCAGTAAGCTAAGAATTTTCTTCGATCTAAGTTTTCGTTCATCGATTTTGAACTGTGACTCAAAGTTGTCTGTACGTGCGGCAGCGCCACTATTCTGGTCCGACGGTGCCGCAGTCCAGCAGTGCTGCCCTTTAGAGCGGTAGTGCCGCAGGGTAAATTTGATAAAAGTTTGAGTGTATATTTTGATAGGCCTATTCACCCCCCTCTAGGCCAACTAGAGATCCTACAAGTGGTATTAAAGTCATGTTACCTTGTGTGCGCTTCACCGCATGAGGCATAGAGCCCGGGAGAGGATCTGATGTTGTGAAGCCCATCAACGTTGATCTAGAGGACGTTGGGCTGCTGAAAGGTCCTAATATGGCTAGAGGGGGTGAATAGCCTATTTAAAAATCTACAAACTAACTATAGCAATTTGATTAGTATAACAAATAGTAAAATGCAAACTTGCTCTAGCTCTACAAGGGTTGTAAGGCACCTATCCAATAATTCTAGTTGCTATGATCACTAAACACACAATTTGCTATGTCATTACTCACTAAGAGCTCTCACACTTGCTACATTAAAGAGCTCCACTAGATGAACTTAACTACAAAGCAAGCTCTCAATTCTAGCTACAATAAAGAGCTTGCTACAACTAGTTTGCAGAAATATAAATGAGTGAATAGGATGATTATACCGCCGTGTAGAGGAGTGAACCAATCACAAGATGAATACAAAATCAATCACTGGGAGAATACCAAATGGCAAGAGACAACTAATTTTTCTCCAGAGCTTCACGTGCTTGCCGGCACGCTAGTCCCCATTGTGTCGACCAACACTTGGTGGTTCACGCGGCTAAGAGGTGTTGCACGAATCTCGTCCACATAATTGGACACCGCAAGAACCTACCCACAAGTGAGGTAACTCAATGACACGAGCAATCCACTAGAGTTACCTTTTGGCGCTCTGTGGGGGAAGGCACAAGACCCCTCACAATCACCATGATTGAAGTCAGAGACAATCACCAACCTCCGCTCGACGATCCTCGCTGCTTTAAGCCGTTTAGGTGGCGGCAACCACCAAGAGAAACAAGTGAATCCCACAGCAAAACACGAATACTAAGTGCCTCTAGATGCAATCACTCAAGCAATGCACTTGGATTCTCTTCCAATCTCACAAAGATGATGAATCAATGATAGAGATGAGTAGGAGAACTTTAGCTAAGCTCACAAGGTTGCTATGTCAATGCAAATGGCCAAGAGCCTGAGCTTGAGCCGGCCATGGGGCTCAAATAGAAGCCCCCACGAAATAGAACCGTTGGCTCCTCAGTCCACTAAAAAAAGGGCGACCGGATGCGCCGGTCAGATCGACCAGACGCTAGACCCTAGCGTCCGGTCGTGCGATGCATGCCACATGGCCCCTGCTTCAAATGCTGATCGCCCGATCTCAACGGTCATCAGTACATTTAAGTTGTGACCAGACGCGCTGCTTCGAAATGACCGGACATAGGACCTCAGCGTCTGGTCATTTGCAGTAAGCATCCAGAGATAATTTTTCACGATCGGACGCGTCCATCACCCTTGACCGGACTCACCCAGCATCCGATCAGTCACCCTCTTCATTGTGTGCTGCCACGTCAGCAGGACCAGACGCACCCCATCAGCGTCTGGTCACTAAGTGACCTAGCATTCGATCAAAGACCGACGCCAGCGTCTTCACTGCTTCCACTGACCGAACACAGGACCCCAGCGTCCGGTCACTGCATGACCAGCGTCTGATGCACTTTGTGAAATCATGTCTTTTCTGTACATGGCGCCGGTGGAGTTTCGAACCCTCGCTCCCAAGTGCTAAACACAATGTGTATCACCTTTGTGCATGTGAGCTAGCATATTTTCACAAACATTTTCCAGGGTGTTAGCACTCCACTAGATTATAAATGCATATGCAGCGAGTTAGAGCATCTAGTGGTACTTTGATAATCACATTTCGATATGAGTTTCGCCTCTCTTAATAGTATGGCTATCGAACCTAAAATATGATCACACTCGCTA